CTCTCGCTCGCTCTCTAAAAAATAAATAAAATCTTTAAAAAAAAAATTAAAAAATTAAAAAATAAAAAATAAAATGCTACTGGGGCAGGAGAGACAAACAAATGAGTGAACTAGAAGCAAAATTACCCCTGAAAAAAGGCATTCATGGACTGTAGGACTCCGAGCTGCACTTTCCACGTGCTCAGTTTTAGCCGTTCACATAGCAACTTGCACAGCTCCCAACGGTAACAACCTGGGGAGAGCAGGGCAGAGAATGGGCAGGGCCAAGAGACAGAGCAAGTGGGGGACACAGACAGGGACAGAGAGAAATTGGAGCAGAGAAGGACAGAGGGACAGGGAAAGGAGAGTAGAAGAGAGGAAAAAAATAAAAGAGCAAATGCCTTTAATTAAAGCCATGAAATCTCAAAAAAATTTCAGCCTGACTTTGTGCCCAATTCCCAAATTTCCCTGGCCAGGAACACGCCCCACCCCACCCCTGTTCAAAAATGTTGGCTCTCCAAGGAACGAACACAGAATCTTAACCACACTACCTTTCCCTGTAAGATACCCTGAGTGACAGCCAGAGAAAGCAGAACTCGGGAGGCAGGGAACTCGACTTGGGACACGTCCAAGCTTCTGCGCCTGGCTGGCTTATCAAGAGACAACGATGCCTATTCCAAACATGTTATGCCAACTGCACTTGTTATAATTACATAATTACTATTATGCTAACTGATGAAAAGGAGTATAAAGCTCAACAAAGTAGTTATTTCTTAAATACTGTAAAATTTAGTATGGTTCACAAATGATGAATGGTGGTAAAAATCTAGAAGAATTCTGTTGCACTTGATTTGTTTCGTAAGAAATTGTAAGTTCTTTTTCCACTATAAAGAACCAGAAACCGGAAATTGTAGATGTGCGTAAGAAGCCAGTGTGGAACAGTTCAATTCTGAAAGGCCTTAGCCCTCCCTTCAATAACTAGCAAATGAATGTACATTCCTATGCCTTCTATGAAAATAAACTGCTTTGTTTTGAGATGTATGTCATCTTTTTTTATAGAATTCGCTACTCTAACTTTTCTACCTATCAAGCAAAAATTAGGAGTCCTAATGGTGTCAATAAAGTGAACTTCCGCTGCGGTAGTCAACGTAATACCAAGAAATAAGGCCACTTAACAACGCTCCATCTTTTGGAAAATCCTTCTAGTACGTAGCAAATAGGCCGTAAAAAGCTCACACAAAGATGGCAAGGTTCAAAGACAACCTTAAGTCTGAGTTTAGACATGTCCAGTCCTGAATAATCAGTAATGTTCTGTGTAACATTTGAGAATACAGAGATGTTCAGCAGGGTGCACTGGAGCAAGCAACACCAGGCCAACTTAGGAGCAGCGTCATCCCGCGACTAAGGCCCTATGAATGAACTACAACTAAATCAACAACAAAGGTTTAGTGGTTATTTACTTAATCCTTCGGAAATACATGTTCAATTTAAAAATCTCTCAAAAAGTTGTAAGTTTCTCAGTGAAATACAGATTTCACCTCTTTATTGAAGATTTGGTCACAAGGCCCTTAATTTCGAGATGGAAAGAACCCACTAGTGAAAATTCTACAGATTCCTCAGAACAGAGCATTTACGTAAAAGAGTACCAGAATTCTTTTTATGGCCAAACTATCTACATAAAATGTATCATGACTGTTACGGGTTGAACTGTGTCCCCCAAATTCGTATGCTGAAGTCCTAACACCAACTACCTCAGAAGGTGACCGTACTGAAAGACAGGGACAGGGTCTGTAAAGAGCTCATTAGGGTGGGCCTCAATCCAGTCTGACTGGTGTCCTTGTAAGATTGAAGAAGGGATTAGGACTCAGACACAGACGGCCATTTACAAGCCAAGGAGAGAAGGTTCAGAAGCAGCCAACACTGCCAACCCCTTGATCCCAGACTCCCAGCCTCCAGAACCGTGAGAAAATCATTTCTGTCGTTGAAGCCACCCAGCCCGCGGTGCTTTGCTCCTGCAGCAGCCCTCACCAACCCGGTAAGAGTAGTCAACGAGATCATCTGCTCACGTAGGAGTACAATTTACACTGGATCCTCACTACACAACAAATGATAACTGTGATCTGGCACACAGAACATCCTTGCTCTCATTCAGTAACCTCTGGTGACAGCACTTCTTCAAATGCAAGCCGTGTGCTTACGTTGGGTCTCCACATTTCGGGGCCAGGCTTTGCCCAGGCTCTCGAAGGCTCCCAGCAGAGACTCCAGCTGCAGCTCCTTTTCCTTCTCATTCTCATCTTCATTCTTGGTTGTCCGAACGCCAGTGTTTTCAGGGGAGTTCTAGGATACATCAAAGCAAAGGAAAGCAAAACTTATTTTCCGTCAAAGTTACAGGTGTATTGCAAAACAGTCAGGGTACCAGAGTAGATGTTAACCAAGAACTAAAAACTAAATTCTCTACCACGGGCCTTCCTATTTGTAAAAAAAAAAAAAAATTTGTTACAGAAATACTACACCTCTCTAATAAATTTGGAAAATCCTTTAAAGGACTCTGTTAGGAAAGGTGAAAAAAATACTGTGTATGTAGGATTTTAAACATAACATAAAAAGACTTGCATTAGAATCATGGGATTAAAGATGCAAGAACTTGGTAATAATCCTCTAAATCCAAACTCTCTCTCAATAAAGAAAGGGAAACATGCTGAGAAGTGACTCATCCAGCTAGCTGGTAATATAATCAATTGAAAACACAAGTCTCCCAAATCCATGTACTATCATTATGTAACAGAAATTATTTAAACAGCCTTACTGTTGAAAGAAAACTGCAGATTGGCAGCAACACAAGAAATAAAAATGCTATTTAAAATATTTCGTGTTTCACAAAAAAAAAAAGATAATAAACCGTAACTTTTTTTCTCTGAACCAGTGCCCAACCTTTACAAATGAGTACTTCATTTTCCAAATGAAACCAAAGTCTTTTTGACCAAAGTCCCTCAATACATGGCAGAGACAATTAACAGTGGCCCACTGAGCTCCCTGTACTCACTCTAGGATGCCTGGGGTGGCTTCTGCACACCCTTAAAGGGCAAAGCATATCACCACTACGTCAGAGACTGTCCATTCACTCCGACACTCACTCTTGGAAGTCACTGTCCCCATAACCCTGAGTTTCCCCGTGTGCAGGTTGAAACCCCTGCAACAAACTCATCTTTCTGCTTTGCTTAAGAAGAACCAGCCATTCTCCCGTCGTCCCACAGAGGGCAGACGGAGGGCAGACACCTGGAGGACTGCCTTCCTCAGCCTCCTGTGCAGAACTGCGGCTAGCTGGTGAAGGACTGGCCGATGAAAGAGAAGTGCCAGGGCCATGCAGCAATGTCCGAGAACTCTCCTTGAGAGAGAAGAGATGTGCCGACTTCGACCCTGCATCCTCCCTCCAGCTCCTCTGCCATTACCCGCCCGGAAGGCAGTGACACCACGCACCACGATGACAATGGCCACACTCCAGGGAAGGCGGAGCTGTGAAGAGCCTCAACTATTACGTGACAGACAAAACTCTATCTTGTTTGAGGCCATGAGACTTTGGGATTTCCTATTTGCAGCTACACTGATCCAAATAAAATGAGTAAAGAGGATGCCAGGAAAATCTTGAGTCCTTTTCTTTCTTTCTAAATTTTAGTTTTTAAGTCTAAACAAGACCTGAGAGAATAGAGGTGATCACAACCTTCTTGATGAGAGGTATGACAATGTCAGAAAACTCCTGGAATCTGTCTTCTTTGGTGGCCTTCAAGACATCCGCCGCACAGCTGATTGCTACGATCTTGTATTTAAGGTTCTCTTTGCAACACTCCTTCAGAACAGCCCGGAGAATCTCCTTTGTGCTGGGCTGACTGGGCACAGGCTTTTCCAGCTCTGCACTACGGGAGCCACACAAACACATCGGGACAGTTAACAAGGACTTCAGCTTTGGGGTTCAGCTTAAGAAATGCCATCTTCACTGAAAGAACATTTACCTGCAAGCTGTCACCACACAGGCAATGGCTTTCAACAGCTCTTCCTAAAGGGTTGAAAGATGAGGGAACACTGTTAAGCACACAGGTGTCATTTCCATCCCACGTACTATGACTCCATTACCTCAGGAATACTTAATGACTATGAGGACAAAAATTAACCAGAGTCATCTTATCTTTAATGCACTTTACTATTTAACAAGCACATCGACAGACTTGTACTCCAAACCACAAGAGCAGGACAACTGTCTTCATCTCCATTTCATAAAGCCTAGAGACCTGACTTGCCCAAGGTCAACAGGTGGACGTGCCAATCACGGAATGCTGATCCCCAGCCCAACGCCTCTCCTCTAGTACAGCGCTGGCCACTACTGACTGGGACAACATCAAGGACATTGTGATATGCTGCCACAATCTCATCTCCCCCACGGAGGGTTCACTGTAAGTATCCCACTAGCACCCTTGTGTGTAACGTGACTGATTCACAGGCCTCAGAGATGGGCATCCTCAGCTCCAGGTTTAGACACAGCTTGCCTTGCTACTCAATTTCACATGTGCCCAATCCTGATCTGTTCATGAGGTCAACAGGGACAAAATGGCGACCAAATGATTTAAGACCTCTCTTGGAAAGCTGAACATGATAAATAAAAATCAACCCCCAGCATTACTGTGCAGTATTCAAAAACACGTGGGTTACACTTTGATGAAATAGCATATTTAATCAGACAAGGTTTACCCAAAGCTTCCCATTGGCTAGGAAATCTGCTTCACAAAAACAATCCATCTGACATCCCACAAAACCAGATTCTAATTTTTATAGAAAATGAGAGATGAAGTCATAATCCTTTAAGGATACCTTAAATTTAACTGGGCATGAATGGTTCCTTTACCTTTCCTGCCCATGTTCTTCCAGCTAGGCCTTGCAGTAATGCGGTCAGGATCATTCCCAGATATGGAGGTACTAAGGAGCTGGTTTGTTTTGCAATTGATGCCATGGCAATTGCACCCTGGGCTTTCATTTTCCAAGACTGAGACTGCAAAGCCTTCTGGGTAATGGTAATCAACTCCTGCAGGTATAACCGAATGCCACCAAAGGAACCTAGGTTATGAAAAGCAAAATCAAAGCAACTTTTAAGTGACAAAAAGAATTAACTGGGTTTTTTTTTAATCTGAAAAAAAAGTCAGTGACCATCAGTCTAAAGCAGTAATTCTCAATGGACAGATCACACCACTCTCGGAAAGAGAAAGAGAACAGTGTTGTGATATATCTTTACAACAGTAGGACTTTATGAACTCGAATATGCCCACAGGAGGGTATCATGCAAATGGTCGTCATCCATTTACACATGTGCAGGTGAAGTACAGAAGAAGCCTCACTCTAAAATAATACTCTAAGCCAACATCAAATCACCACTCACTCCCAACACAAATCAGTAAAGCTCTACTTAGCTGGGGCAGAGGATCTATTCTCTCACATAGGCAGCAATGAGGGAGGAGAGAGAAGAGCTGAGCATCAACCTTGAGAAGGCAGCAATTTGGACAGGCTTAAAACCAGACGGGACACATACCGTTAAGGTCCTGGGAAAGTAACTATAGGAGTCTATAAATGAAAAAGAGGAGTAAGAACTCCAGCTGTGGTTCTTAAGAAACGGGATGAATTCACAGGTACTGATTACTAACCAGGTACGTTTTCCTGCCACACTTCAGTCCACAAGTCACACTCTTCTTTCTCTGATTTCTCCTCCTCGGCGATCTCATGCATGCCCAGAAATGCCAAAGGCAGCACTTCTTTGGCATGGTTCTTCAGCACATCGGGGCTGTACCGTCCAATAGCATGGATGGTCAAAGCACAAGAGGTCTTATAGATGGGTTCTGAAGAGGAGCAGAAATAGAGTCATCTTTATGATACTTACTGTGGTTAGGGTAACGAACTGACGTAAACAGACTATTGCTCAGCTCGCACCACAGCAAAACAAATCAGTAACATCAATCCAGTGTTCCTAGCAAAGCACATAATACCACAGACGGCAAGACCCAATTTGTATTGTCTTACTAGACTGTTAACATCTAAATTAAAAATAACAGAGGGGCGCCTGGGTGGCTCAGTCAGTTAACGGTCCGACTCTTGCTTTCAGCTCAGGTCATGATCTCAGGGTGGAGAGAGGGAGCCCACCCCTCATCTGGCTCCCAGCTCAGCAGGGAGCCCGCTTCTCCCCCCTTCCTCTGTCCCCCGACTCACGAGTGCACTCTCTCTCTAAAATAAATAAATCTTTAGTAAATAAAATAAATAAAATAAAATAAAAATACTAGAGAGAAGGAAATAAAGGTACCTTCTTTCTCCATGTACCAGCCATTAAGCTTCTGCAGGAGTTTCTCAGTGCTGCTATCCCTCGAGGTCTGAAAAAGAAAACAATCGCTATTTATTTCTTTATAATTATCAAAGTATAAATACTTAATTAAATAAGAAATTCAACTCACCCGAACTAAATGGCCCATGGCAAATGCACAAGATTTCTGAATTACACTGTTCCGATCTGTCAGGCCACTAAGCAAAGCACTCATAAGTTTACCTATCAAAAATAATGAAGAAAAATCTGATCCTTGGTTGACCAAATGTTCAACCAAAACAAACTTAACCCTGTTTAGAACCCTTGTATGTTACATGTGTACTATGCACTTGCTTCCTTTCGCCCAATACAAAATTAAACAATCCGTGTCTAGAATATCGTGGGGAAAGTTGCAAAAATGAGAGCTAGGTACATAAAGTTCATTAGCCCCATCGAGGAGTCAATCCAAGAAGAGAAAAATGCTGATGTAAAATGAGGCATAAATGGGAAACAAATCCTACAAAATGGCAGATACTCGTACCTCTTCAGAGCCAGTAAGAATTAATCTAATACTTATAAAACAGTGAACACGTGCTAAACTTGTTAAACTTGGTCATCACCGCACCTCTTGCAAACAAAGAAACAAAGGCAGAAGGGGGAGTTTACAGGGAGGAAAACCGTACAGCAGATCACAAGCCCAGCTGAAGGATACTTAACTTTTTAAAAAACCCTGTCCACAAGACATGGCCACACCGAAGTATCACCACTTGCGGCTCTGACAAACTCACCTGAGTGAGGGGTCAGGTCCTGGGGACACTGAGTCGTTAACGACACGATGACACTGGCACAGCCTCCCTACAGGGTTACAAAAGGCAAAGGTCTAAATTTGATGGTCACAATGTCCTGTCTCTCAAACCCACCGTGTCTTAGGTGTCGCTGATTTAAAGATGAGAAATACATGACGCCTAACGGGATTCCTATCTGGCAAGAGGAAGGTCCTTATTTTAAGTATGCAATGCAAAGATTTTTTCTCAAGGCTTCCAGCAGGAAGACGTGTGCTCTCACACACAATACAAGGAAGAAAGAAAACTAATACAATCTTTTGGGAGGGTCACATAGGTCAACCTGGCCATCCTTGTTCTAACAGTTCCAGCTCTAAAAATGTAACCAAAGGAAATAGCTCCAGATATGTCCAAAGACATTCATCACAGTGCTCTGTTCAGTATCAAAACAGTTGAAGACAAATCCAATGCTCCTTGATGGACTAATATAAATGATGCTACAGCCACATGACAGAGTACCCCAGGGCCATTAAAGAGGACGCTGTCACAGACACGTGCACAGAAAAGAGACTGGAGGAAAACACTGTGGAATATTAACAGCGATTACCACTGGGTGCTAAACTTCATGCACAGTCTTTAACTTTCTCCTGATCTACAAATGCTAAAATGTTAAAATGCAAGCAAGTGCTAATTTTGTCAAGAGAAAAACTGTGGGTTGGCTTTTAAAGTGTGGGGACAGGGTCTGATCCTTGAAAGACCTTGGAGAGGAAGACATTTTTCTTGCCAAATACCTGCTAGCCCCCGTGAAAATGCTAATCACCACCTAAAACCACCATCCGTGCCTTGATACCTACACGAGCATTTCCATTAATGACTGATCATGGCGGGGACCCAGAGGGCACGTACACGGCAACCAGGGGACAGAAATGATCCCACTAAAAAAGTCAGACACTATTTATTGAATAAGTCACATGTTTTCTATTCTGAGTGAGCTACATATTTTAAGTTATTAGTACAACCAGAGAAACAAAATGGTTAATGTAAATTATTATTAAGTTGTACAGAGAAATATGAATTTCAAACATGACGGCTGTTATATTTTTGTGGCCCCAACTAATGAAGATGCAAATTCCTCTTGTGAAAAATACACGTACTTACCTTAGTTCCAAGACCCACACCACTTCTGATCAATTCACATAATCTAGGAACGAGCTCACCAAGCACCGACACATCAAGATATTGCAGGCACTTTGGGAAAAGAATAAAGTTAACCCTAGAAAATGATGAAGGCAATACCACATCATCAATTAAAAGCTGCTGTGTCAAATATGTACCCACTGGATTTATCAAGTTGAAAAACTGCCAGGTTCATTTTGCACTGATTTCAATATAAAAACCACCACTGTACTACAAACAGAAAAAACATTCATCAGTCGTTCAACATTAAAACAAAAATTGGGGTGGGGCGCCTGGGTGGCTCAGTCATTAAGCGTCTGCCTTCAGCTCAGGTCATGATCCCAGGGGCCTGGGATCGAGCCCCGCATCGGGCTCTCTGCTCAGCGGGGAGCCTGCTTCTCCCTCTCCCACTCTGCCTGCTTGTGTTCCCTCTCTCACTGTCTCTCTCTGTCAAATAAATAATAAAATAAAATCTTAAAAAAAAAAAAAACAAAAATTGGGGTACCTGGGTGGCTCAGTTGGTTAAGTGTCCAACTCCTGATTTCGACTCTGGTCATGATCTCAGGATCATGAGACTGAGCTCTGAGTCCAGCTCCACGCTCAGCATGGAGTCTGCTTGTGACCTCTTCTTTCCCTTCTGCCCCTCCCCCCGCTCACATGCTCTATCAAATAAAATAAAAATCTTTTTAAAAAATCATGAAAAATACTGACTTACTAAAGGAGAAAATAAATTAGGATTCCGCAAGAAAGCATTTCTCTGGGCCTACTCTTCCTCCTTACCAATCCACGTTTAGTGTAAAACATGTTTAGTTAAAACTTTCAGTGGGCCTGCCCTACCAAACCAACTTCTTAGTCAAATTTGCTACACTATGTTTTTAAAAACGCAATGACATATTTTCTATTATTAATGAGCATATCCAAAAGGTGTTTGCTAACCATTCCTATTTATTTAAGATTCCTTTTCCCCTCAATAATCCAACTAAGACATAACACCCTTAGACCAAATTTCGATGATAGTCCCCCAGTAAGCACTAAAAAATATCTTCTTCTCTTGTCCAGCCTTGTGATCTGCTTAACAAAACAATTTCCAATAGCTCACGAGTTGTCAATTAACCCACTCCAGGGTATGCGCAGCAGGGCTGGCTCTCGACTTTAGTGACCCCTAGTCCTGGACTCCAGGATCTTTAGAATTTAGAACCTCAGTGCCAAGCAGATCTTTTCTGCAAACCCCTTCTTACAACTAAAACATTTCAACATTGCTCAGTTCTCCTTCCCTATCTTTTATGCTACCTACCTTCACTGAACACCTCCAGCTTACACCTTCCTAGGTCCTCCCAAAGACCATGCCCAGGCACACAAATATCTGAACCTTTCTAAACAGACAGGCCAAAAGAGATAGAGATTTATAGAGGAATCTTTTAATATATTGTTCTTCTATGTAACACAAATCTGGACTCACGGATTCTAGTATTTGGAAAATGTTTTATTCCATTTAATAATCTGGAAGAAGAAAAAAAGACCTATACTAAGAAAAAACTAGAGTCAATAGCTGTTTGACTCATCCCTTAAACCTCTACTTCATTTAATGGGCTGTAAAGACTGAAAAATTACACTCTAAGGTAAGCAAAAAACAAACTTTCTTATTACATTAGGCACTGACCATGTTGATTGTTTCCATCATGGGAGAGGATTTGGCAGCACTGAGTCGAGCACTATCCATCGCAGCCTGAGGACACAAATTCAAGTCACTCAGCATATTCGATCAATTAAGAAGAACCCACATACACTCCCATAAAAGGGCTTTACTTCCAGAGGAAATTTTTTAAAAATAATACATAGGTAAAGCAAACTCAAATGTTAAGTCCAACTCTAATTTCTTTTGAGCTACATTCAACAATTACCAATGAGGCAGCCTCTCACTGCAGGTGAGAAATTCAGACAATAGTTAGAAATTAACTGCAGTTAGAAATTAACATAGCGTGGCTCTGAGCAAGCCATCGGCCTGCCTGAGCCTCAGGTTCTCCAACCACTACATACGAGAATAGGCTAAATAAATTTCTACCTAAGGTTTTAAAAAATTGTATCTAAGCAATAAAAAATGTCATACTTTTTTTTGCTTTAACTTTGTAAAGGTATTTCAGTCTAACAATGACCCTGCAGGAGAGGTTAACTAGCCACACGTAGTCAATGAGGAAAGGAACGCGTATACAAGTGAGAGGCCTAAGGCTGCAAAGTTTGGGCTAGACATTGTTTCCTACTTCTCAGCACTAGTAAACACACTGTGGGAACCTAGGCAGGGCGAGTCCACTGCTGAAAAGGAAAGAATGATGAATGGAGAAGAAACAGCAACATGAGAGGCAAAGGGAAAGAGGGTCGGTTATTAGAATAGTTTAGCCAAGGTAAAAACCAAATAGCAAACTGAGAGCGAGTACCAGCAGTCTACATGACAGAGGTGTGACAGTCCTAATAAACAGAGACCAACGTAAAAACATCAACAAGCACAAAACCAGGCACGGAATAGAAACACACAATTCACAGAATGTAAGTGACTAACATAATACGATCAGACAATGGACAGCCCTAGTAACAGGAAGGTGTAAATCAGAACGAGATTCTTGCTTATCAGACTGATGTTATTCAATGTTGGCAAAGGTGTGGAGGAAACAGAACGGGCACAACTTTTGATGCTGCATAATCTCTCTGACCAAAATGTGAAATCACCTCACTGTAGAATACTATGCATGCATTAAAAAGAATGGAATAGCTCTATATACAGATATGATATAGTGTCCATAACAAAAAGCAGGTTGTAGAACAACATTCACAGTCTATTTTTAAATCAGTGTGTTTGTTTGGGTTTGTCGCCTGTGACTTCAAGGGAATTTCAAAACAGACCCAGAAGGCTACTGACCATGGGGACCGGGTAGGGCAGAGGAGACTCCTAGGGGATTACTTCCTCCCCCTTCTGCATTATTTTTTCATAGTAAATGTTTCATCTACAATTTTTTTTAAAAAAACTTTGATCAGTCAAGGCAACTACAGTATCTCTGAAAAGCAGAAAAATTTTGGACAATGCCAAAGTCTAGATACAAATCCTCTTTACTTATAGGGCAGGAGTGGTCCATAGAAGGACTCTGAAGGTGGAGAACCAACCCCTAAAAAAATAAACAAACATGTACAAAAAACTGTGTTAAATAAATGGAAATGCATTTTTTTGAATGGAAGTGTTAGTTTTCATCCAACTCACAAAACACTATGTGAGCCCTCGTTGTGCTCCCTCCGACCCCCCAAAACACACACTGCATGAAGTCACAGGTGTGGAGTTATTTCAAGAGTGGTGAAAGTATCATTCGAGTAATGGAGTTTGTCTAAAGACACTGGAAAGATTGTTCAGATGGAACTCAGTACCTTAGCAAGGCTTTTCTTCCTTGAGACTCACCAATATGTCTGTGCTGTCAACTCACCTTTTCTTGGTCTGTAGCCCGGAGGCTCAAATAATTGAGAACCTGGGGTTCCAGTACACTTAAGGATTCCAACAGAGCTGGGATGAGTTTTGGTGCATGTGGTTTCAACATGGCTCCCGCACTTTTGCTAATCTTCACAAGGGTGTTAATGCTACAGACACACAGAATACAACTCCTAAGTCCTTTTGACAAAAGCCAGAAGCTCTACAAATCAAATCATGAGGACGTTCTGTGGTTTACTGTATTCAGGAACACATTCACATGGTTACAGTGTCTTAGCACTATTTTTTTTCCTTTACTTTTTATTATAGAAATTTTCGAGCACATGTGAAAGAAGAGAGGATCATAAATGAAATTCTACATATTCTCTACCCAGTTCAGCCATTTGCAACTTCTCACCAATTTTGTTTCATTTATACCTCCTCCAGACACACAAGCACACATTCCCCGCCCCCCATATCATCTTGAAGTATCCTTTAACTAAACTTCAGTATGTGTCACTAAGAGGCAAGAATTCTTTACTATAATCAAAATAACATTTTCAAACTTAGAAAATATTAATAATTTTTTTCATATAATTTGATATCCAAATTTCCCTGTTTCACAAACGTCTTTAAGAGTTGGTTCGTTTGGAGGGCACCTGGATGGCTCAGTCAGTGAAGTGTCCGTCCAACTCTTGATTGTGGCTCAGGTCATGATCTCAGGGCTGTGAGATCGAGCCCTGCGTGGGGCTCCATGCTGGGCTTGGAGCCTGCTTAAGATACTCTCTCTCTCTCTCCCTCTCCCTCTGCCCTTCCCACCCTTCCACCTCTCTCACTCAAAAAAAAAAAGTAAGTTGGTTTGTTGGAATCGGATCCAGAGTCCACCCACACATTGCAATTTACTGCATTTCTTAAATCCTTTTTAATCATCCCTCCTCTTTTTCCCTATAATTTATTTGTCCTCACTAACTCTCTTCCAACGGTGTCATTTAACATGTTCCCCTCTCTGTCCCCTGTACAGATCTTCAGGCTAAATCAGGTTCAGGTTCAGTTTTTTTTTTTTTACCACGAATCTTTTGTAGGTGGTGGTGTACATGTCCTATTCCATCACATTAGGATGCATGTAATGTCTGCTTATCTTTTTTTGTGATATTAAGTGGTCAGTGAATTCAAGTTTGGTTCTCCTGACCATCCATTTAAAGCTTCCAATAACCTTTGACCAGTGGATTTAGGAGCCACTAATGATCATTACCCTAGATTATTTTAATGACGTCAGCAAAACAGGAATATCCTACTTTTATCATTCCTTTGCCTTTGTTATTGTGAATTCTTTAAAAACAAAACAAAACAACAACAAAAAAAAACACCTTCAGGGAGCCTGGGTGGCTCAGTCAGTTGAGCGACTAGCTCTTGATTTTGGCTCAAGTCATGATCTCAGGGTCCTGGGATCCAGCCCTGTGTTGGACTCCGCACTCAGCAAGGAGTCTGCTTCAGGATTCTCTCTCTCCCTCTGCCCCTCCCCCTGCTCACGCGCATGCACTCTCGCTCTAAAATAAGGTAATTAATTAAAGAAAAAAATCTTCCCTCATCAATTATTTTATTAGTAATACTAAGAAATAATAGTTACTCTTAGTATGAAATACTGCTGGTACTATTAATGTGATCTAATTTTAAGAGTGAAATAAAATGACAGGTAAAATTCCTAAATAGGACTCTAGTTTAAAAAAAACAAACAAGAAACTAGAATCCTTCACTGCTGAATTTTACAAAATGGCCATATATGTCTAAACATGTGAGTGTATTTTTTTGGTACTTCACTGTTGCAGGTGGTACAGTTTATTTTAAACCTAGCTATCTGTGAAATATTACTAAATGGGCTAACCAACAGCAACCTCCCAAGGACCAGGGGCATAACAGAAAGGTGTGCTTGCCGAGGACAGATGCCAATGGCAACACAGTAACACACCTTACGCAAGGTCAAAGCAGAACAGCAGGATGCTGGTCCAAAGCAAGGTTCCCATGAGAATGTTTGTTTCTGAGCAATGTTCCGCCTCAGAACTTCTCACAAATGCTCTTGGGTCACCTCAGTGTATTCTCCTCAACTCATTTTCTCCATACTTTGAAGAATCTAACACTCAGAGAAACACTCTTTCTGCGGAATGGCTAGAAACTAAGTAAATCCATTCATTTTATCAGCTGATTCACACCTGAGGGCTCGAACTTCTGTCACAGGACTCATCATTCCTTTGTCCAGAAGGCAAGGCAGAAGGACCGCGATGGTTCTCTGGCCAGCTGCTCCTTTGGCGGGGTCACACATTTTCACACAAACCTCACATACACAGAGCATGGAAATTAGTGAAACTGACTTCTTACCCAATAAAGCATTCATCTAACAAAATACTTTCTATTTCCCATAGCCATAGAAAAGAGTAAGAATCAACTCCATGACACTTCGGGGAGAAACAGAAAAGAATGCTCTGTCTGCCAACACCTAACAGGGAATTGGGTAATGCCTTCCACTCTGTAAGCTTTGGTCTTGTCATTTGTGAGACAGGAAATAGTTGAAAAGGAAGTGAGAAAATCTGTAAGAAAGCACTCTGCAGAAGGCTTAAGGTATTACCATCATCAATAACTTTGGGTGGCAGCATAACACAGTGGTCAGGAACACTAATCGGGAATAAGAAACACCCGGATTTAAAACCTGTTTCTACTACTTACTAACGATGTAATCTATGGCAAGCCTATACAGATAGAATGCACAAGTCCCTGAAATACCATACAATCAAGTTCAAGTAAGAAACTAGTTTCAAAAAGCTTGCCAACCTCATAAACATGCAAGGCAGCTGAACACAAAACCACAGTAATAATAAAAGAGGTAGATGTGGCTGGATCTAAATGAGTAATGTGTTCTTCAGGGTCGAGTGAAAGTCATACCTTATGTAAAAGCCCACAGAAGCCGACCAAATAAAGAGACCAGACATATTCTATGCTAAAAATACTAGTATTCTAGTATAATGGCACCTAGTTTCTCATTCACTGTGAGAACACTGAACTATAACATGAAACCGCTTACTTTATGTCACCGCAACTCAATGTCAATTGAGATGACAAAAAAGTAAGTCATCGTTGTCCTGGTCACAGAAAGCCCTGCCCCACTTCACTCCCAGTATAAGATAAGAGTTTTCACCTTGCTCAGAGTTTTCAGAGCTAGTTCTGCAGCTTTCCGTACAGATTCCTAAAAATGAGGAAAGTATGGCATGACAGATTAGTTTCATTCCCATCCACCCCATGATGTGTATTTAACTGCCTCCGACTCTACACAGATTAGTGAAAAATCCTACTTGCAATATCAGGTAAAAAATAGTGTTTCATTAGGCTCCCTGCCCATCAAGGAACATGTTATAATGGCATATATTTTTTTAGGTATGACCTATTTTGATCTTACAAAAATATGGCTACAAAGTATAACAGTTTAGGGCCGTGTGGGTGGCACAGTCAGTTAAGTGTCCTCCTCTTGGTTTCAGCTCAGGTCATGATCTCAGGGTGTTGAGACTGAGCCCCATGTGGAGCTCTGAGCTCAGCACAGAGTCTGCTTGGTCTGCCTGGGACCCTCTCTCTCCTTCTCCCTCTGCACCTCTCCCTACACTCATCTCTCTCAAAAAATAAATAAATCTTTTAAAAAAACATAAAACAGTTTTTATAAATGCAAACATATAAATATCTGTATGAGCATTCTAAAAGACTTTTAAAAATCTCTAATGAATAAGTCAAAAAGAAAGGTAAAACTAAAGTGCCTAATTCTAATGGTGAGATACCAAAATATCTAAAATTTAGATTGAATTTAAAATTCAAAGGAATTGGTCACGTTATTTGGGATTAACTGATCCAATTTATAAAACTGATCAAGTAGAGGTTGTCTGGATTATTTCCAAACTGTTACTTGTCCTAATCAATAACATCATAAAATCTCTATTGAAAAAAACCCTGCAACATCACAGACACATTAAGACTGAAATTTTGGGAGGAAACTGTAGTCTCTTAAAATTGTATACAGAGTGAATTCTTAAATACCCAATGTATACATCTTAACAATCCCAGTTAAAGTTATTCTGTGAATAAATGCAGACTTTTTTTTTAATACCTTGATATCATCTTGTACCCGAAAAAGAGTTTCCCAAATTTCTGGAAGTTTATCAATGATGTCATCTAGAGGTCTTCCTCTCAATAAATCATTCAGAGCTAAACAGCTGAAAATAAACAATTTGGTTTTCAAGTCTATGATCAAGAAAGCTCAATCTTACTATGAAACATTCATATCAAGCAAGAATATGGATTCTGCCTCACTCCTGGACAGCAACACCTGTTCTCTCCTTGGTGCCTCAAATACCCCCCCACACACGTGGCATTTATATTCATCAGATGTCTGCGTCCCACAACTACAATACAGCCTCTTTGAGAGGATACATCATTTTTTATTTACCAGTGTACCCCCACGCAGCACACCGACGAGCACATAACAGGCACTGAATAAATTTACATAAATATATAAGTAAATGACACCCTACAAAGTCATGACAGTATATATCTTATTGTCTACCAATTTAACAAGTGATCTTCTTTAATGTCATACTTATATAAACTAAGACAATTTAGAAAAACCACTGACTAGAGTTGGGTGTTTATTTTAGAGTTTTAAATAGTTAAGTAGAGAGAACTCTCTAACCCAACCAAAAATACGCTTTTTAGTAATTTAGTAATTTATTCCTTTTGCATAAAGTATAAAGTATAAAGCTTGGAAACTTGAAGAAAAAAAATTAGTTATATCTGACTAGTCTTATATTTCCAAAAATGGTACCTGGATTCTCGAACTCGCCACATATTGCTGGTAAGGTTCTTAACCAAATCTTGAAGAATTTCCTTCAAATATTTATCCACCTAATGAAAGAAAAAGTTTAACATTTAAAATGTGAAATTCATCAACTGTCAAGTTATTAATCTCTCAACCACACTAACCATGTCTCTGTAGGTAGCAGCCTGAGTGTCTCTGGGCGTCTCAGCCCACAAGTCTCTCCCCACTCTGCTTGCTGACAGCTGCTAGAATGATCATTCTAAAATGCAAACTTGATTCTCTTGTCTTCCTCAGGATGCGAGAATAAAATCCAACCACCCAGGCATAGATACAAAGCCCTCTGTGACTGAGCTAGCTCCAAAGGTATCATGTACTATTTCGCCTTTATTCCTTGATACATAATACCTCTCCCTACAATCCCTTTCCATCTCTTGCTTGCCTGGCTAATTCCTACCTGTCCTTCAAGATTCAAATCAGGCATCACCTGGTGGAGAATACTGGCCTACTCTCCTCTGTGTTCCCACAGCACCTTCTTCAGCATGTCATATCAGACTGTATGTAACTACACTGCTCCATCACACTGAGACCCCAAGGACAAGGACAGTGTCTGACTTGTCTCCATATCCCTGGTAATATGTACAGTGTCTGGCACATAAAGAAGTATTATGATTGTTCAGAACGAAAGGTGAGTTGAATCTTTTAAGCCTGCTTTGTTTGGATATACACTTAACAATTTGGTAATAACAACTAACTGATGGGAGGCTCAATTCTTATACTGATCCAAAGAACCTCAAAACTTAAGGCTTGGCGGCACCTGGGTGGCTCAGTTGGTTAAGCATCTGATTCTGGCTGTGGTCATGGTCTCAGGGTCCTGTGATCCAGCCATGGTGGGCTCCACGCTCAGCAGGGAGTCTGCTTCTCCCTCTGCCCACCCCCTCCTGCCCCTCTCCCTGCTTGTGCGCGTGCTCTCTCTCATATAAATAAAATCTCAAAAAAAAGCAAAACAAAAACTTAAGGCTTTTCCACTTTTACTCTTATAGGTAGGAACGGTTTTGTTATCCTCACTTATATGGAAGAAAACCAAGACAGAGAGGTAGGTAAATAACTCACCTAAGATTTAACAAACTGACATCTTCTTACGTCCAGTTCTCTAAACATTCTCCACAGTGATCTCATCCGCACTATCTCATCTATCCATTGAGACAGACCAATCTCACTGATCCCCTTTCACTCATAAGGAGATGATACTCACATCTCGAAAGCCTCAGCCTATGCACTGGAAGCAGATCTATCAAGCCAAGTGGCCTATTAGATCTTGACTGACCCAGTGGTACCAAATACTCTGCTAGAGCCTTCAAAGTTGAATCCTCAAGGCCTATCACCATGAACAGGAACACACTCAACCTGACACTAAAGTGAAGAAGGGGAAAAGCCATATCATGTGCAGGGACTGCAAAGGTAAGGTAAGGCTTATGGAATTTATTTAAAGTGAACTATGAAGCCATTAAAGGATTTTAACCCAAAATGGCAAAATCCAATTTCTTTTTAAATCACTTTTACTGCTGATTATATAAAGGAAGGCAAAGAGAAGAGAGAGAGAGAGGACACCCTGTTCTCCAGGAAAGAATCAGGGAAAGAAGAGAGTGGATTCAAGAGATACTTTGGAAGCAGAATCAACAGAATTCGCTACTGGATTCAACTGAAAGTAGGGGCACAACAGACAGAAATCAAGAGGATACCAAGTTTCCTGGTATGGGTAAATGGATGAATGTTGAGAAGAGAGGGGAAAGTCCTGTTCTGGACATGTTAAGTTGAAGGAATTGTGAAACAACATCCAAGTGAAGTGGGCAGTTGGATGTGCAAATCAGGAACACAAGTCAAGTCTGGGCCAAAATATAAGATTGGGAACCATCACAAGTAAGATGACATTTAGATTCACTGGAACTGCTGAGCTCAAAACATAAAATTGAGAGAGTAAAAGGTACTCAGAGGCAAGCCTTGAGAAATCCTAACATCAACAAGTGGAATCGAGTATGACAAGCAGCCAGAGAACAGAAAACCAAGAGAGAAAACCATACATGGTAATGGCCTGTTTCCTTGTCTAGCTCCTCAACAAAGGGAACTCCTTGAAGGCAGGACTGTGGCCTGTTCTCCACTGTATGGACAGTACCGATCGACACGGTATTCCGTTTGTGTGAGTATCCCGCCACTTCCTCAGCCAGCCACCCCATGGACATTTAGATTATTTCCATTCTTGAGATTTTAATAAATGTGGCCACGAGCATCTTCGACATCTTGAAAGAACGGAGAAAGCAAAGAATGAAAGAAAGCTTATTTGTTTAAACAGGTAAGTATACAGAGCAGAAAGAAAGATGGGCCTTGGGTTGAAATCCCATGTGTAATCTTGGACAAGGGTTCCCAGATACTTGCCGTTGATTTGTCAGTGACCAATGCATTCCAAATACTTGTCATGGCCTGTCGAATGCCCAGGTTGGGATCAAACTGGTAACGATAAAGACGGGGAACCAGCTGAGGAAGGAAAGGAGCCAGCTGTTCCCCAGCTCTGGAGGCAATCATATTAAAACCAAAAGCAGCACCCTAAAAAAATAAGATGGTGATGAAGTGACTCAGATACCTGTGGTAAAATGTTAATATATTAAATCTACGAAGATCACAAAATCCTCCCTCCCAAACCTGTCCCTGGACCTGATCCACTGGGTGTCCCAGCTGTAGCAATAACAGCAACCATGTGGTGGTCTGGCTCTCTCTAACCCCAGACTTTTACAAAGCATACTGCATATCAATCGCCACTGCCAGCCAATGTAGCAGGTTTGGTTTGGAGGTAAAAAGCAAAAACCGTCCGTGATAGCAACTTACCTTCCTAGAGTTCCACATTGCATGATGGTTGGCTAAATTCATAAATTTATACACCAGATCTGGCTGACTAAGATCACTTGCCAGAGAACAAAGCTCCTTGTAAGTAGAGAGGCCCTGGCTTGGAAACAAACAAACAAAAAGTACACAATGTATTTCTCTGTCTCCAGCCTAGTAAAAGTTACGTCACCAGTATTAGTAGGACATTTTTAAATTATGTTCTCAATCTCATCACCACAGAGGAAGAGAATGAGGCTGAGAGGAATATAAAGAGTCACCTAGTTCAATTACTGACAAGGCCAGGTAAATGACAGGAAGGCCCCCTTGAGTCCCTTGGACATGGAGCCCTCACCCCCCCGGGGAGGTGGCTCAGTAATTCCTTGTTACCTTGTGCACCAATCTCTCTCAGAATCAGGAGTCGCTTAGAGACAACTTCTATCATCCCCAAGTCTTTTCTAAGCTACAGCACCCCAATCATTTTTAAGTTTTTATTTTAATGCCAGTTAGTTAACATAGTGTTATAATATTAGTTTCAGGTGTACAATACAGTGATTCAACACTTCCATACATCAACCCATGCTCCTCACAGCACGTGCCCGCCTTGATCCCCATCACCTACTTTACCCATCTCCCCACCCCCCCTCTGGTGACCATAAGTTTGTTCTCCACAGTTAAGAGTCTGTATCTTGGTTTTCATCTCTTTTTTCCCGTATGATCATTTGTTTGACTCTTAAATTCCACATGTGAGTGACATCACACAGAATCTTTCTCTGACTTGTTTCCCTTAGCATTATACTCCCTAGCCCCATCCACGTTGTTGGAAATGGCAAGATTTCATTCTTTTTTATGTCTGAATAATACTCCATTGTGTATATATATATGTACACCACATTTTTATCCATTCATCTACCTCAATGAACAGTTGGGCCGCTTCCATATCCCAGCTATTATAGATAATGCTGCTATAAACATCAGGGTGCATGTATGCCTTTGAATTAGTATTTTTGTATTCTTTGGGTAAATACCCAGTAGTATGATTGCTGGATCATAGGGTAGTTCCATTTTTAACTTTCTGAGGAGCCTCCATACTGTTTTCCACAGTAGCTGTACCAGTTTGCATTCCCACCAATAGTATAAGAGGAGGTTCCTTTTCCTCCACATCCTTGCCAGCACCTGTTGTTTCTTGTGCTGTTGATTTTAGCCATTCTGACAGATGTGACATGATACCTCATTGTGGTTTTGATTTGTATTTCCCTGATAAGTAATGTTGAGCATCTTTTCATGTGTCTGTTGGCCATTTGGATGTCTTCTTTGGAAAAATGTCTGTTCGTATCTTCTGCCCATTGTTTTTTAGGTGTTAAGTTATATCAGTTCTTTATATATATTAGATACTAACCCTTTATCAGATATGTTATTTGCAAATATCTTCTCCCATTCCACAGGTTGCCTTTTAGTTTTGTTGGTTGTCTCCTCTACCGCACAGAAGCTTTTTATTTTGATGTAGTCCCAATAGTTTATTTTTGCTTTTGTTTCCCTTCCCTCAGGAGAAATCTCTAGAAAGAAGTTGCTTTGGCCGATGTCAAAGAGGTTACTTGCCTGTGCTCTCTTCCAGGATTTTTATGGTTTCAGATCTCACATTTAGAACTTTAATCCATTTTGACTTTATTTCTGTGTATTTCTTTTACATGTTGTTGTCCAGTTTTCCTGACACCATTTGTTGAAGAGACTGTCTTTTTCCTATTGGATATTCCTTCCTGCTTTGTTAAAGATTAATTGACCATATAATTACAGGTTTCTGGATTTTCTATTCTGTTCCATTAATCTAGGAGTCTATTTTTGTGCCAGTACCATACTGTTCTGATTACTATAGCTTTGTAATACAGCTTCAAGTCTAGAATTGTGACGCTTCTGGGCTTCACTTTTCTTTTTCAAGAGGGCTTTGGCTATTCAGTCCATACAAATTGTAGGACTGCAGCACCCAATCTTGGTAACTCCTTCTGAGTCCTATTAACTTTCCTCTGAACAAATAATATTTCCTTAAATACCCGATCATTTGTATTAGTTATTCTGTGAAAAGAAAGCACTTTTTAAAAACTCAGAAAAAGTCTACAGGGACAGTAAGTGGAACAAAAATAACTTCTGATGTGGAGACAGCGAGCTATGGGAGAAGGTCAAGAACAGAACAAATGGCTGCTCTCTGGTGTTGCAGACAACACTGAAGCAGGGCCCAGCCAGCTGCACAGTCTGACCTGAGGGGTTTTAGAGGAAAAGCATCAGCATAACCACAATGGAATAATGATAAGATACAGGAGGTAAGGCTCTAGGAATTAATCTGAAGTGCTAAATTGATGGACCCCACAATAACAAGCAGAGCTGCCCCCCCCAAAAAACGAGGTGCAGCGGATGCCGAGCTGTGCTGACAGACCGCCCCTCACGACTCAGCTGGCTGGGAGCTAATGGAACTGCCCTTAGTCCAAGGCCAGGTCCTCCCCCAGAGCAGCCCACCACCAATGGCTAGACACTGAGGGGATGTAAAGCCTAATGAGGGGATGTAATGTCCTGGCCCCTCAGAGCAGGACAACTCTGAAGGGCCTGCCCAGCCCAGTTCCAGAGGCCAGGGTCTGCTTAAGTGTTGGCAGCAGGTCAGCTCCTCCTTGGGCCATCGGCCCTCTCCTGCCTCCTCACTGCCCTAGGTGATGAGCCTGGGGCACTCTTCAGTCAGCTTCCAGCTTTGTCCAAAACTCCACCTCAGAGTCTGTTTCCCAAGAACCCCAATCTGAGACACTATGCTTTCTCCACAGAAGTTTTCTTCTTCCACTAACACACATTTCCTAGGAGGGTAGAAATCAGTGTCGTGAGTGCTCCATTCAGAGACTAAAGGTGTCAGTGAGGACTGATCGATGGATTTGGCACACTTACCCATCGGGTGTTTTGCCAAGGCTTCCCCCTTGAAATACCACTGTCTCTCCAGAAACTTCATGTTTAGTTCTAAAGCAAAACAACAGTAAGACTTTATATTAGCCTCAAATTTTTCAAAGCAGTATTCAACTAACTGATTCATTTTTTTTATAAATTGATAAAATCAAATTCCATAGCAGGTATCGACCAAGATGTAAAAGTCAACTAAATCCTTTCCAATCAGCCTGAGAATTCTGTAAAACTAACTCTAGGATAAACAAAGAGATGTAAAAGACATTCCACGTCAAGTTAAACTGAATTAAATGTGGTCATCCATTAAAAAATATCCTCCCTGCAAGGAAGGCAACATAAAACAGTAACCAATTACAAGAATGACTGCCCCTCTCATCCTCTTCACAAATCAGACTATGAAAGACATGCAAGCTTCCCCTCCACATCTTCATTTTCATTTAGCCAACAGCAATTACGGTATTATTATAATCCAATGCTTTGACTGTCCTGAGATCATTCAACTTTTAAAGCTTCACCTACTGGCCTGTTTCTGAACAGTAGTTTACTTCACTTTACTGTCTAAACAATATACACTGAATAATTAAACTGCTATCCACCACATAACAATTACTGACTTGAATTTAAAGACTTAATAAACAAGAACATCAAATGCTGAATTTTCCTTCTTCCACTGCATATTCTCAGTATGTGCAAATCGTGCTGTATGTGTTTAAATCTGAAGTGTACAAGGTCACTGTACCTTTTGCCAGTCATAAGTGTCTCTACAAGTGTAGAAACCAATTCCTGCTGATCTTGTTCATTGCCCAGTTCATACACCAACCCAAGGCCTTTTGAGGCAACGTCTTGGCTAAGTTCTGCACAAAAGTCAGACAAAATAGTATTACTTTAAGAAAATTTGTCTTCTGGCCATTGTCGGATTTTTTTAAGTTGTAATAGAAATCCAAAATGATACCCAAGTGAAGACATGAAAGCAGAATCAATCTGCCTATTTTGTTAAAACATATTAAATCATCTCAGTGGACATGGCACCAAACGTCCCTGTAAGTAAGAATTACATTCACAAAAGATCCAACTCACAAACCAAGTCAACCCTGCTGGGCCTTAAGTGTTCTGTGTACTACAAGTCGTACATGTGAAAAGTACAACAGCCTCACGGATTTCCATATACCCACATCCAATTTTTTAAGTAAAAAGTCAATATAAGACCGTATGTTTAAAACAATTTATAAAACATGGGTGCCTGGGTGGCTCAGTCGGTTAAGCGTCGCCTTCGGCTCAGGTCATGATCCCAGGGTCCTGGGATCGAGCCCCACGTCGGGCTCCCTGCTCAGTGGGGAGCCTGCTTCTCCCTCTGCCTCTGCCCCTCCCCCCTGCTTGTGCGCGCGCTCTCTCTCTCTCAAATAAAATCTTTAAAAAAAAAAATTTATAAAACAAAGCTACTGTTTTAATGTCTAATACATTTGCTCTCTCCTGGCTTACATCAGGAAAGGAACAAGAAATAGAAAAAAAGCTATTTTTGTAAGTACTAATGTTAAAGAAGGCCTTGGCGCCATTTTTTTTTCATTTTTGATAATTAATTGAATTTAAAAAAAGATTAACATATAGTGTATTATTAGTTTCAGAGGCAGAGTTCAGTGATTTCATCAGTCTTATATAACACCCAGTGCTCATTACATCACGTGCCCTCCTTAATGTCCATCACCCAGTTACCCCATCCCCCCCACTCCCCTCCAGCAACCCTAAGTCAGTTCCATTTTTAAATGTAAAACTGAAGAACATGATCTAATTAATTAAATCAACCAAAAAAAACTTTCCTGTGTTCCTTCTTTTATGTTCATTAACCTAGATTTTTTAAAATTTAAAACACAAGCTTAATGAAGTTGGCAAATCAAATATTTACCAATAACTTACCATCATTTTCCGACAAAACGGAAACAAATGCACTCTGAATTTCTTTAAGGTGAGACTGAAAGAAGAAAACAGGCATTCAAGAACACAAACTCTACCTCTTGGTAGATTAATGGAAGGTAAGAATCTTCTCTCGGGGCATACAACACCTTGTAATTACGAGTCTTCCAACCCAAGACAGCCACAAACCCTATTGTACTCTGTCTGAAGGTGGCCAAACCGCCTGAAGGTTGTACGTTTACAGGTAGTCTAATGCACACTCAGCCTCCCCCTCCTGACCATCTGACCTTATGCCTTCAAGTTTAGAATCATCTTCCAGCCAATGTACATCAGGCTGCCAACCTTCATTCACAGCTTCTTTCAAAATATCTGTTACTGGCTAATGGCCCTCACTATCCACTGGCCCTCACCTTCATACACTTTCCTTCCTATCACCTTTTAATTATAAATATTTCAAAGACGGTTTCTAACAGTGCTGAACACATTTCTGGAGTGGCTTACCTTCACTTCTTTATGAGTACTTAGCTTCCTCACAAGGGAAAGGAGCCAGATGCAGGCTGCTTGCCTCACGTGTGGGTTGGGGCTGACGATATGTTTATTTAAAATCACATCCAATACCCAGGGGACCACGTCATTCACTTTGGCTCCTGGGGGGAAAGAAAGGAATGATAAAATCAATTAAAACAAATGAAAAGAGTATCCTGAAAAATTAAATTTTACTCAATATTTACTCAGTACAACAATCCTAGAACATATTCAAGTCTACACGATTAAGGTGTTGAGGTTGCTGAAGGGACTAATGATCATCCATTTGAGAAGCGCAAGACAGATGACACCATGGTACCTGTAACATGTAGTCAGAAAGCGCGCACTCCTCACCAGTGTAGGCACTAAAAGCCAGCGCACCTCCAGTGCAGAGGTATGCAGAGCGTGAGCAGAAGACCCTGAGGCTTCATTATGTGATAAGGACTAAAGAACAGGTAACTTGGAAACGTAACTATGCCTCGACTTCCGAAAATGGCTAAATACACCAAGCCTCCAGAAAAAGCGCACAAGTTTGAAGGTAATACACAGCTAACTCCTTGTTTCCCAAAGAACTAAAAAAGAAGACCTCATTCATTTTGTTGTGTTCATTCTCCTTTAGCCAACTATTTTTCTTGACTGAACCAAACTGATAAGACATATATAAATATCCTACAAGAGTGAAAATGGAACACATAAATTTTTTCTTTTGCTTCAAATGTGGTAACAAGACCAGAAAGGGTTACTTGAGGATTACGAAAGGGTTAGCCGAGTGTGAGGTACCAGCAGGGGGAGTATATTCCTCCTCCGTCACCAGCCAGGCGTCCCGGGCAGCCACGGAGCTTGTTCCCACGGCAGCACTGGTGAGGGCTTCGCCAATAGTGAACTGCAGTTCGATCTGCTTGGCCTGCAACCATGCAAACGAAAGCCATGAATCACCGAGAACATTTCCCCACAACATCCACTTCCACAAAAAGCTGTTTCAGATCTTGTCTGTCAACATGCTCTGCTTTTACTCTTTTGCCTGGATTGCTCTCACCTAACCTGGTGGCTGGGAGGGGAGGCGAGGGGAGGGAATGGAGAATGTGAAAATGCCCTGAAGATCTTTTTCCAAGCCCACGTTGCCCTCTTCACCCTCGGCAGAGAACCACTAAGCAGGGATTTTTAATCTCTGGAGGAAAAGGGTATGGACTGAAGCCATACAGATCTCGGGGCAAATTCTTATCTGTCGCTCACCGGCTACATACACTTATTTAAACTGAGCCTCAACTGCGTTTCTAACGCAGGCGTAACACCATCGCCCAGCTCATCAGGCTGTAGGAGGAAATGAGGGTAACGTACACAAAGCTTCTAGGGGACACCTGGTGGGCAGTAACAGCACAATACACAGCAGCCATTCTAACTTATTAATACCGCCTCTGGGCGCTGTTAAATTACATGGTGTCCGCGAGCTACTCTCCAATGGTTCCGATAAAGGAGAGAACGCGGTAAAATGGTAAAATCTGGTATATCTGGATAAAACAGTATAGTACAGAAGTACAGAGATCCATGAAGAGCTAGCTAGCTCCAATAGCAAGTTAATAATCCAGACAAGAACAGTTCTTCATGCTATTCTTACAACTGCACTGTAGGTTGAAATTGTTTCAAAAACCAAACTAAGAAAATTCTATATAGTATATACTCAAATTTTTAAAATTTTTTTTTGAGAGAGAGAGAGAGAGCGAGCATGTGCAAGCGAGCAGGGGGGAAGGGCAGAGGGAGAAGGAGAAAGAGAATCTTTTTTGTCTGTTGTTTTTTTTTGGAGAATCTTAAATAGGCTCCACATCCAGCACAGAGCCCGACATGGGGGCTCGATCTCATGACCCTCAGATCATGACCTGAACCAAAATCAAGAGTCAGATGCTTAACCGACTGAGCTGCCGGGTACCCCTCAAATATTTTTAACTTGGTTTAGAAAATTTTGACACATTGGGGCACCTGGGTGGCTCAGTCAGTTAAGTGTCTGACTCCGGCTCGTCACGATCTCAGGGTCCTGGAATTGAGCCCCGTGTTGGGTTCCTTGCTCAGTGGGGAGCCTCCTTTCCCCTCTACCCCTCACCCCCACTTATGCACACACGCTTGCTCTCTTTCTCAAATAAATAAAATCTTTTTTCTTTTTAAAGATTTTATTTATTTATTTGACAGAGACACAGCAAGAGAGGGAACACAAGCAGGGGGAGTGGGAGAGGGAGAAGCAGGCCCCCCGCCAAGCAGGGAAGCCCGATGCGGAACTCGATCCCAGGACCCTGGGATCATGACCTCAGCCGAAGGCAGATGCTTAACGACTGAGCCACCCAGGCGCCCCATAAATAAAATCTTAAAAAAAAAATTTTGACACGTTTCACAAGCATGAAGTATTCAACATGGAATTGGACCTTAGTTCCCTTTGGTCTTTTTCTCTGTTTACTATAAACTGGAAAACAAAGAATTTGGGGACTAAGAAGAGAATGAAGAACAGAGAGTTCCCACGAGGAGTATGGGAATAGTGACCTTGGAGAGAACTCTACCAAGCACAGACCACAGTGCAGCCAGCCATTCCTAAGCTCAATCAACTATGCTCTCATCTCGAATGAGGTGTCAAGTTCTGATGCCAGATGCTTCCTATTCTGAGGAAAAAGAATTTCAGGGCTTCAGTTCCACAGCTTCCCTGGCCAAAAAATTCTTTGGAAATTTTAAACAGAGAAAAGGTATGTAAACACAGAGGATCCTACAGTACGGATTCATTTTACATGCCTGTTTTCAAATGTTTTCCTTTTTTCTTCTTTAAAAATTTATGCCAGAGATGCATTTCTTCTAGTTTTATTTAAATAAATGAAGCTTTGGGGCCCTGCTGGGTGGCTCAGTCAGTTAAGCATCCGACTTGACTTTGGCTCAGGTCATGATCTCAGGGTCATGAGATGGAGCCCCAAGTCAGGCTCCATGCTGAGCGTGGAGCCTGCTTAAGATTCTCTCTCCCTCTCTCTGTCCCTCATCATGTGCACACAACATATGCGTGCTCTCTCTCTATAAAGATAATTAATTAATTAATTTAAAAAGAAATAAGATAAGAAAGCAGACACTATAAGCTTTTCCCCAAGTGGTTACAATGTCAATGACACAAGGGAGAACTTGATGTGTGTATAATTCATTCTCAAAAAATTCACATTAAAAATACTGGATTATGGGGTGCCTAGGTGGCTCAGTTGGTTAAGCGACTGCCTCGGCTAAGGTCATGATCCCGGAGTCCTGGGATCGAGTCCCACATTGGGCTCCCGGCTC